ATTTCGAGATCTCATCAGTCAAGGACACGTGGTAGTCTATCTAGATGATATCATGATCTTCACTCAAGATTTAAAAGAACATCGTCGGATCACGCGGCAAGTTCTTCAAATCCTGAGAGAACACAAACTTTATCTGAAACCAGAAAAGTGCGAGTTCGAGAAAGAAGAAATAGAATACCTCGGAATGATAGTAGGAAAAGGAGTTGTTCGCATGGACCCAGTCAAGATAGAAGGAATCGTCAATTGGCCTCGGCCCGAGTGCAAACGAGACATCCAAGCATTCCTCGGATTCACCAACTTCTACCGAAGATTTATCCGAGATTACGGCAAGATAGCAAAGCCACTTAGTTCATTAACAGGAAATGCTACCTTCGAATGGACTACTGAACAAGAAGTAGCGTTCACAAGCCTGAAAGATGCACTCTGTTCCGCACCAGTATTGGCCATATCCAATGACGACGACCCCTATCGCGTAGAATGCGACGCCTCGGACTTTGCCGTAGGAGCTGAGTTAGCCCAGAAGCAAGATGGCAAATGGAAACCCGTCGCCTATCTATCCAAAGCTATGACAGCAGCTGAAAGAAATTACGAGATTTACGATAAGGAACTTCTCGCAATCATGACTAGCCTTGATGAGTGGCGTCAGTATCTCATGGGCGCCATACATCCGTTTGAAATATGGACGGATCACAAGAACCTAGAATACTTCCGGAAGCCACAGAAGCTCAATCGACGACAGGCCCGATGGGTAACCGAGTTGGCTGAATATCAATACTCGTTGCATCACAAACCCGGTAAATTGAACGGCAAAGCTGACGGACTATCTCGCCAAAAGAGACACAATGCAGGAAAAGAAGATAATTCGGATATCGTGTTGCTAAAACCAGGACATTTTCGTGCCCTGATTCGTAGTACTGTATTTAGTTTAGAAGGAATCGACCAGGACTGGGTCGCAGAAATTAAAAAACACAAAAAGAACCGAGATTCGCTAGTTACCGTAGCCTTACAGAACAAGGACAAAGATTGGAATGAAGATAGCACCGGACTCGTGACGTGGAAGAATCGTATCTATGTACCAGTAAATAGGAAACTCCGAGAACAGATCATTGTTCATCATCACGATACCCCATTGGCAGGACACCCTGGTCAATACAAAACACATGAAATGGTCACGCGTAACTACTGGTGGCCTAGAATTCGAGAAGACATCCGAAAGTACGTTGCTGGATGCGAAAAATGCCAGAAGACCAAGGTGCACACAACACGACCTACCAGACTTCTCTTCCCCAACGAAATTCCTACGCGACCCTGGGAAATAATCTCGGTAGATAAGATAGGAGTACTACCCGAGTCCTTTGGGTATAACGCTATTCTCGTAGTCGTCTGCATGTATTCCAAGCAGATAATAGCGATACCAAGTAACATCGAACTCAATGCCGAAGGATGGGGAAAAGCACTTCGCGATCATGTAGTAGTACATCACGGACTTCCCCGGAAGATCATCAGCGATAGGGGCACCGAATTCAAGAACAAGTTCATCTCCGAACTGTACCGATCACTTGGAATCGAAGCCAATCCCTCCACCGCGTATCACCCTCAAACTGATGGACAAACGGAACGCATTAATCGCGAAATAGAACAATACCTCCGACTATTCATTAACTATCGACAAGCTGATTGGGCCGAATGGCTACCACTAGCGGCCTTTTCGTACAACAACAAAGTTCATTTGTCCACAGGGTATACCCCCTTCTTCGTCAATAAAGGGTACCACCCTTATGAAGGAACCCAACCGGTACGAGAAGGACTAAGTGAAAACGTCCAACAATTTGTCGATAGAATGGGTCGAGTACGCGAAGATACTAGCGCGGCTATCAGTCTAGCGCAGGAGTCTATGAAGCGCTTCTATGACCGAAAGAGAAAGAGCGGACTGGAATACAAAGTTGGGGATAAAGTTTGGCTAGAAGGAATAAACATCCGAACCGACAGGCCAATGAAGAAGCTCGACGATAAGCGATATGGACCCTTCAAGGTCAAACGCAAAGTCGGCGCTTCCGCCTATGAATTGGAACTCCCACGTCAATGGAAACAACACCCCGTTTTCAATGAAAGCCTTCTCAGTCCCTTCAAAGAACACACGTATCCCTCTCAGCGACGTGAACCGGTAGTCCCTGACCTCGTAAATGGCGAGGAAGAATGGGAAGTCGAAGAAATCCTTGACTCCCGTCGTGACCGAAACGGAAATCTAGAGTATCAGGTACTCTGGAAGAACAGCCCCCACGGCGATTGCCGTTCCTGGGAATCACGAGCAAACTTGACTAATTGTCAGGAACTCCTTCAAGAATTCCATGCTAGACGTCCTGACAAACCCGCGCCTATGACGATTCGAATTCCCCCCCTATTAACACGATCTGTTCACATACTCACGCGTGATACCACTCTTTTGGTACAACGGATGGGTGGGATTCTCCCGAAGCAAGGATCTGAAGAGTCGGCTGGGCTTGATCTCTACTCGGCTGAAAGTGTTAAGATACCGGCACGGGATCGCAAGATTGTCGGCACTGGCATAGCAATGCGTGCCCCTCACGGAACTTATGCACGAATTGCACCACGAAGTGGGTTAGCAGTCAAAGGAATAGATGTTGGCGCTGGGGTGGTAGACCGAGATTACACCGGAGAAGTGCGTGTAGTGTTGATCAACTCCACCAATCAACCATTCCAGGTACACGCCGGCGATCGAATCGCACAAGTCATTTTGGAACGCATTGCGTCATGCGATATCGAGGAGGTGTCCAGTTTAATAGAGACTCAACGAGGATCAGGAGGTTTTGGATCGACGGGTAAATAATCGTGAGGACACGATTCTTGACGGGAGGGTAATGTCATGAATATTACACAATCCGGATGGTTCTCCCGGATTCCATGGTATTCTTTTACTTTCTATACACCTCCGTATATTCGTAGGATATTCTAGATATTCAGTCTGACATGTATATAAGGAGCTCGTACTGCTCAATAACAAGCCAGACTCGAGCTGGTCTTTCTTCACTCACATTCCTCTCGTCTGTCTCCTCAGTATTGTCGTAGCTCAGTCCAATTGGATTGTTAGTTGCTGACACTAGCCGGACCAGGGACCGCCAAGCGCCTGTCAAAGTGGTTGCTGGCCATCGCCGCGCCTGCCATATAGTTGGCGTCATGTTTGCCATACAGCAGACAAGTAACACAGTAAAAAATAAATATATCCAGCCTAACGTAGCTGCTCTGCTGCACCATATAGTGTACTATACTGCGCTTTCTGCAGGTGAAATCTGCATTGGAGCAGGCTGGGACCAGCATCGTGCCCGTCCTCTTGATCGGAGAGGATGATATATTTACTCACCTCGGTAGGTTCGGGACACTTGGGCACCGCAAATGTCAGTCCGACGGTGCGCACCTTGCGTGTGGCGAATTTCCGACAGGAGCAAACGGTGCCGTGAGGACAGACAAAGGACAAACCACGTTGTGAAAGTGCTGCATCATGATGCAGATCTAGCGCTCTCGTGGACGACGGAAACAAAAGTTGAATTAAGATGGAGATGAGAGTCAGTGCACGCCTGCCTCTGGGTGACCAGACCTTTCTAGAGCAGCACAAATTGCATGAGCTGGCGATCAATGGACGGGAACGGATTACACACATAGCGAGCACAAAAACTGGACCTTACTACCATATACGAAGTGCCCGAAGACGACTCCTACCGGCACCGGCAGAAGATATACTTTGATGAACGAGTGAGTCACAGCTTCCGGTA